GATTGCAAGTTCAAGGCCAGCCTCAGCAATTTAGCAGGATCCTGTCTCAAAATAAAAAGGGTTGGGGGTGTTGGGAGTGCAGCTCAGTGTTTGCCTAATATGGATGAAGCCTTGGGTTCAATCCCCAGTAGTACAAAAAAAAAAAAAAAATAGAAATAAAAAGAGGAAGTCAGGAATTGAGATTTGTCTGTTTCCCTTCTCTGCTCACAATCCTCACAGACAAAAAGAAAACTCACAAAACCAGTGTTCAAACCAGGCAGTGACACATGCCTGTAATCCCAGTGACCTGGGAGGCTGAGGCAGGAGGATCATGAGTTCAAAGCCAGCCTCAGCAAAAAGCGAGGCATCAAGCAACTTAGTGAGACCCTATCTCTAAATAAAATACAAAACAGGGCTGGGGATGTGGCTCAGGGGTCGAGTGCCCCTGAGTTCAATTCCCAGTACCTACCTCCTCCACAAAAAAAAAAAAAAAAAAAGCATTCAAGACTTTTGGACATCTGGACTGTCGGACATCAGGCTTTCAGACTCACTCACTTTGCAATGCCCATATGAAACTGTCCCCTCCTCCAGAAAACCTTCCCTGGCCCTCCTCCAGCCCCCGGCCCTCTCGCCAACCCAGACTTGACCTTTCGGGCTGGCATATCTGGGCCTAGTCCTGCTTTGCCCTTCTGACCGGGGTTCCATGAAGGCCCGTCCTGGGGCTGGGTTTGTCCGTCATTTGTCACATCTGTACCCCAGGTCTGCACGGACAGCCCATGGGAGCACTGTGTCCATTTGTGTTCAGGTCCCTGTGCGGGGGCCCAGGACAGGCAGCGAGGCCAGCTGCCACCAGACAGTGACGTCTTTCCTGGGCAGGGAGAGTGAGCTAAGCGGGGCCCCTTCGTACGTCACTCTGGGGCACCTTGGCTCCACTGGGGGTTCATTTCTCCACCAACCTTCCGCTGGGAAGAACAGGGACGTGGGCAGTGGCCTCAGCCCGCCACCAGGTTGGCCCCGTGCCTTGAGCTCCACCTTGAAACTCAGCCCCATCTGGGATGAGGGGGAGGCCGGGCCCAGGGAAAGCCTGGGTCTGAGTGGGAGCCCCCTGCCCGCCCTCGCTGGACCCGCCAGACAGACTTGAGGACATACCTGAGGTTTGGCAGACCTGCGGCCTGCCCGGGCCTGAGTCAGCAGGAGGAAGGGATCAGGACTTCCCTGGCAACGCGGCCTGGACCCGGAGGCCCCCAGTCCCCCGCCCCCACACTCCTCTCCAGGGCTCCAAGGGGTGGGACGTGCCTCATGCACAGAGCTGGGGCCAGGGCGCTCAGTGGGGCTGAACCGTGGGGGTCGTGGGTGTTGGAACCAACGCTGGCCCAGGCCACCTGGGAGTCAAAGGCACCCCAACACGTGGCTTCCCACATCGGGGTGCATCTGACTGCACCCGCCACTGTGAGGGGTGGCATCCTTTGCATCTGGCAGGTCCCACCTCATGCACTTTGCACGCGTAACTGCCTGTGGGACTGAGGGCGACAGTGTCACCTGTTGAGTGACAGGAAGGCAACCAGGTTGTAAAAGGAAATACCTGATGGCAGGGAACGGGGACCAAGCATGGTGAAGACAGTGTGGCCTCAGGACTGGTGACAGTCACATCTGGCCGTGACACACAGTGGTGCTTTCCCATGGTGGTGACCCTGAGGAGTGCTATGTGTGTCCCCCTGCATCTTGGGTCTCCTGCTCCTCTGAGCCCTGGGTCTCCTTCCCACCTGCCCAGCACCTGGGGTCTGGCCTCCATTCCTGCCCTGAAGGGGTCAGGCAGCCAGGCGCCAGCGTTCCCTGGACGGCTCGCTCGGCTGGCCTCCTGCCTTCCTTTCCACCATTAACTCCAGCACCCCCCACCTGACAGAAGCCAGGTCACCACGCCAGGCTGGCTCCCGCCTTTGGGGTCTGAGACTGGGTCCTACCCAACTCTGACGGCTGATGAGAGAGACAGACGGGGGAAGTGGTGGGTGGCCACGCCAGTCCACGAGGCCCTGATGGAGGAGCCAGGGAAGTTCAGCCAGCACAGGAGGCAGCTGTGGGGAGGGGGCGCTGGGCTGCAGGATTTGGATTCTGCAAGAGCCACCATGTGGGAGGGAAGAGACTCCAGTTCCATGAAACACTTCCCAATAAGCTGAATCCAGTTCCAGGGGAGTCTGTCATGAGAAATTGTGTGCCCCCCTTCTGTTCCAGCACCTTCCATGGCTCCCCATTGCCCATTGCAGGTTCCCAAATCAGCATTTGAGCTCTGTTTACCTCCCCTCAGGAGAAGCCTGCCTAACGCTTCCTTCATTTGGCCTGGGCATACACGTTTCCAGCCATCCAGAAGGTCTTTCCTTCCTTCCCCACCCGGCAAACTCCTACACATCCTTCAAAACCCATGCTTGGGTCTCCTCCTTTCGGAAGCATTGCTCTTACCTTTAGCCTATAATGTTTCCATGTGCTTTGTGACTCTGGGCAAAGTGTTTCAGCCACGAAATGGGGAGGAGAAATCATTCTCCCTAAAAGCATGTTTTGGGGGCTGAGGATGTGGCTCAAGCGGTAGCACGCTCGCCTGGCATGCGTGCGGCCCGGGTTCAATCCTCAGCACCACATACAAACAAAGATGTTGTGTCCGCCAAAAACTAAAAAATAAATAAAATATTTAAAAAAAAAAAAAAAAAAAAAAGCATGTTTTGGGGCCTCAAGACAATATACATTAAATGGCCTTAAAGTAAGTTCAATCATGGCGGGGTGGAGTGGCTGCATCCATTCAGAGCTTAATGTGTGTTCATTTTTTAATTTTCTTCCTCTTGGATTCTGTGGTTTTAGACTCTTGTTTTAAGCATTTTACTGTTCCAAGATTCTTCTCTCCACCGTGGTGTGAGGAATTTTAAGAACCCCTGGTTCTAAAATTATAAAAGTCTAAAATGCCGTGGGCGGGACTAAGGGCTTCCTCATGCCCTGAGCTGACCCCAAGGTGGCTGGAGCCCGGGTCTCTGGGGTCTCACGCCCTCCAGCCCCCAGGCTGTGCAGATGTGCTCTGGCAGCCCCAGTTTGGCAGAGGGGAGGTGGGCAATGGATTTTCCAGAAGGCAAATGGCCCCTGTCCTAAGAGGGCAGGGTGGGACTCCTGGTGGAAACTAGAATGAGGGGACTCAAGGCGTGGGCCTTGAGCTCAGGGCCACGGCTCTCTCCTCTCAGAGCCTCAGGATCCTCCTCCAGAAGCTGGGGACAAATGATCCCATCTTAGAGAATCATCTCAAGGGTGAGGAGGAGACGGGGCTGCAGCCCACCCTGGACCAAGCTTCGCTGGTCCTCAGATGCCCTCCCTGGCCTGCTTTCCCTGGCCCCCTGCCACTCCTTGGCCCAGTCAGGTGGAGAGGGGGCTTCAGGAGGATGCCCACCAACCCTAAGAAAGGCTGCTGGGCCAGGCTGGCCATTCGCCCCACCGGGCCGGCTGCCCTGGGCTTGGCAACAGCCAAGGCCCCAACACTTCCTCAATGAAAGGTATTTGGCCACAAAGCAGGACACCTCATCACCCCAGGCCTGGAGTCTGCAGCGGGCTTTGCCTGCCGGCCGCCAGGACAACCCCCCCCATGCCCCCGCCACCCCCCATGACCCCGCCAGGCCGCTCTGAGCAGGGAGTCTGGATTGCCTTGGGCAGGGACCTGCCCCTTGAAACATCCCGGTCAGCTGGGGGTGCGGATGTAGTAAATTCCGGATAAACACACATGTCCCTTGCCTCTGGCTTCCATGCGCTCCCAAGCAACTTTCCATCACAGTCCACCCTGGCCACAGTTGGAGTCCTGGGGCCTGCCTCCCAAACCAGGCTCCAGGGGCGTCCCGGACTGCGGCTGGTACACTTGGGCCTGTTAGCATCTCCTAGTCCCTCCAGGCCCCAGATCCACCCTTGGGACACAGGAAGGTGTTCCAAGGAGAAGTGGCCTAAGCAAACCAGTGAGGGCTGAAGAGCTTTGGAGTTACCAGGGGCTGAGCCAGGAGCCTGGTGTGGGGTGGGAAGCGGGGGCATCTGGGGTGTGGTCACGTGGAGAGGAGCCAAGAGAGCGGCCCCCAGGGGTGTGTCAGGGACTGAATGTGTGAGCCCCTCTCTCCCTTTCTCCTCAAGACTGGGATCTCTAAGGGACCCCAGGGTTGGCACAGAGATGACATGGCTGCAGCTGCATAAGCAGATCACGGAAGTGGGTGACCAGGTGTTCAGAGGCTCTAGCAGGCCCTAGGCTCCCCTCCCTGCCAGGACCCTGGGGATGGTCAGCCAGGCCCAAGCCCCCTCCCAGACTCCTGCAGGCTCCTCCAGCCATGCCACATTGATATCTCCAGGCCGGAGCAGCCCCTGGGGTACACGTAGAGGGGTTGAGCCTGCTGGGTCATGCAGAGAGCCACCACTCCTGCTGGGACTCATGCCAGCACCTGAGGGCCTCAGCTTCTCCATGAAATTGGGGATGTGATCAGAACAGTGCCTGCTCCTCGGGTCACCATGGGATTGCCTGGTCACACACACATGGAATGTGAGCAGTCATGAGTCTGCAACTCCAGCCTGAGGGTCCTGCCCAGGTCAGAGAGCCTAGGACCCTGGCCTCGGGCACCTCAGTCACCATGTGGCCATGACATGGCCCGACCTCAGCTGGGTGGGGCTGCTGTGACCCCAGCTAAGGAAGGCCAGGGCGGCCTCTTTTGCTGCCGCCTGTCCTGGGCGCTCCCCCGCCAAGGCCCCTCCCTGCCCACTGCAGCTCCAGGGCTCGGGCCAGGCACAGCTGGCTGAGGAGGCCAGGCCAGGGCGGCAGCTGCTACCGTGCTCAGCGGTCAGGGCCTCACAGGCTCTGATGGCTCCAGAGTGACTCCGCACACACGTGTCACAGACACATCTGCTGGGGCACACGTGCCTGTTCCAGGTATGCCCCAGCCACATGGAGGCCTCTGACATGTCCTGTCTGAACTGGTAGCCCCAACCTCTGTCCTTCAGTCCCCAGAGCTTGACATCATGAGTTGGAAATAAAGCATTTTTAATTGAGCACCTGCCCCAACCCCACCAAAGGGATTTCCAAGCACCAAACATGAGAATTGTTAATCTGCCCCCATCCCCAGAGCTTCCCCTGGAAAGAGGCCACAAGAAGCCCCTCCCTCACTTTCATTGGGTCCAGCCTGGATCCCCCACTCACATCCACAACAAGCCCCCTGGGCTTTATTTCAATAAATAATCCCAGAATAAAGCTTGGGGTGGGGGACCTTATAAAGCTCAGCAACAGGCAGAGAGGGCTTCTCGCCAAAGGGCAGACTATCTGAAATCAAGGTCAACATACACGTGAAAGTCAGAAACCGCTTTTGAGCAGGGAACAGTTTCCGCAGGCCTCAGTCTGGTGACTGGCTCTCGGGAGGCTGGCTCCAACCCCTGTCAGAGCAAGCTTCACCTCAGGTCACACCTCGAAAACTGCCCACCTGCCTCACACTTCCACCTTTGGACACGCCTAGTTTTTTTTCTTAACTCTAAATTCTGGTGGGGAGGGGAATGAGACCCCAAAAACCTGGAAAGGGGGCCTCTGGGGAAGAAGTGGGGTGAGAAGTCCCAGAACAAGGAGTCCAAAGCAAGGCAGGGGAGTGAGGTCGTGGGCCCAGGTCACTGGCCCCTTTGGGTGCTGAAGGAACTGGTAGCCCCGCTCTGTGGCCTGGCTGCCTGACCCATCTCCCTGCGGATGTCACCAAGCGCTGACGCTGGGGACTCCAGCAGCCTCTGGAAAAGGTTGGGCCGGGCTGGTGGTTCCCTGCACTGGAAGGTGATCGCTGTGCCGGCATCAGCCTTCATCTCCCTGGAAAAGCCATCAGAGGAGCCATCGAAGCAGCGGCCAATGGCGATCTCCTTAGCCAGCCTTGGGCTCTGGTCAGTGACGGTGTAGATGCCATAGTTGTGACCAAGAGGGTCCAGGGGGGCTAGCATGGCAAAGGCAGCCTGGTCCTCGGAGGGCACGGGTGGGGGGTGCCGGGCCAGGTAATCCTGCAGAAGCCCATTAACCTCCACCCGGCGGCAGCTGCCCTGGGGCGTGACAGTGACCAGCGTCCTGTCCACCTGACGCTGGTCAAACAGCATCCCACTGCACTTGAACTCCACGCAGGCCGCAGAGATGCCGGGTCGCTCAGGGTCGCGGACACTGCGGGCATCTCGCAGCCCGTAGAGCTGGCCCTGGGTGTGCGGGTGGCTCCCCCCTGCGTTGTGGGCGCGGACCATGTACTCCTGCGGGCCTTGGATCTTCACCTTGAGGAAGCAGGCCCGGAATTCCTGTGGATTAGGCCACCAGGACAGGAGATCGCCGGTCCAGGAGGCTGGCGTGCCTTCCCGGAAGGGGACCACATTGTACTCGTACTTGTCGGCCTCCACTCGCGAGAAACGAAAGTGACTGGCGTTCACCGGAGCCTCCTGGCACTCCCGCAGGCTGCGCCACGGGTACACGGGGCCGTTGGCCTCGGAGGGGACGCCGGGTCTGGGTTTTGCGAGGTTGATGTGGAAGCCGTTGCGTTTGAGCGCCGGGTCGTCGTGGTCGGTGCGGCGGTAACCCAGCCTGTCCAGGTAGGGCTGCGTGACGCCCACTGCCGCCGCGCGCGGGCGAGGCCGGGAAGGCGCCGGCTCCAGCTCCTCGCCCCCCAGGGTGGCCGTGATGAAGGCCGTGTAAGCGTCGGGGCTGTCGGCGTCGCAGAAGGCGGGGAGACAGGCGCCATTGGGGCCGGTGACCACGCTGTCGAAGCGACCCCACGCGCGGGGGTTGGCGGAGAAGCCCGGGGCAGGCTCCAGGTTCACCAGCGTGACCACCACGCCCTCCACCTGCTCGCTGGGGGTGAACTTGTCGTTGACGTAGGCGCGCACCTTCACGAAGCAGCGGCGGCGCTCGGGCACGTCCAGGTTGAACAGGCGCCGCTCGCGGATCTCAGTGTTGCCCACCAGGAAGACACGCTCCTCCCGGCGGACCCGGGCGGCCAAGGAGCCCTGGCGTTTGAAGCCGCTCTCCTCCTCCCACAAGCCGTTCTCGGGGTTCAGGGACCACAGCTTGAGGGCCTCCGTGTGGCCGGCCATGTGGATCTGGTCTGCGGCCACACGCACCGCCACAGGCCCAGTGTGCAGCTGCTCCGTGGAGCCCGGCGCGCGGAGGTCCACGGAGAACATGCCGTAGGTGCGCAGCGGGGCCAGCTCACCATCACTGTCCACGAAGCGCAGATCACTGGGGGCTGCAGCCGCCGAGGTGAGATCTCTGGGGTCCACGAACGTTACCCGGGCCTCCACAGTCCCAGTGTACGGTTTGCCGTCTGCGTGGCGGAAGGATCCAGGCGGCAGGACCAGCTCCCCCAAGGGCGCCTCTTCCATATCCCCGAGCGGGATCGTGTTGCTCTGGCTGGCGTCTAAGATGACTGGGGCTTTCTTCCGCATGGCCTTGACCTCGTGATACACGCCAGCACCTCGAGGGTCAAAAGGCAAGACCCGGACAGTATCCATGAACTCACCACTGGGGTCCACGAAAGTCACCACCAGCCGTTCGGTGGAGGGCGGCACTTCGATTGTGAAGTCGCCCTGGTAGGAGGTGAAGCCGATGGATTCCTGGCCCAGCAGGATCCTAGCGAAGCGCAGGGGCTTCCCGGAGTCTGCGGTTACCACCCGGCCCCGGACCAGTCCCCGAGGAGGCAGACACTTCTGGCAGCCACACTCGGCCACCACCTTCACTGGGAGGACGTAGCTGGAGCAGTGTATCTCTCTGCTCTCTAGGCGGCGCACCGAGCAGCAGCGGGAGCCAGGGTCCCCACACCGGGGACTTGAGCCTGCAGAGCTGGGGCAGCGGGTGTCCGGACAGAGGCCGACATCCAGGTACGCAGGGCCGCTGCCTGGCTGGCTACAGTCATCCGGGAGCTTGATGAGGTGTTCTCGGGGTCGGGGATCGCAGGCTGGCTGGCCTGGAGCTGGGAACCCGAAATCGGCCAGGTCAAGGCAAGAGGCTACATCTGGAGTAAAGGGCTCAGTCCAGGAGTGGGACACAAGCCTAAGGTGAGGACTGCGATTTGAGGGTCAGCCTGAGACCAGGATTAACCCAAGGTTGGTGTTTAGTTGGGGGCCAGGGTAGGACTCAATAAAGTCAGAGATCATTTGGATTTGGGGTTTCATTTGGAGTTGAGGCTTAGCTAGAGTAGGGGCTTGGTTCACTGGCTGGGCTTGCTCCCACCTAGGTCCAGGATGCTCACCAAGCACGATGAGCTGGGCAGCGCCAGAGCGCACAGCTCCGGCCTCATTCCACGCCTTGCAATGGTAGATACCAGCCTGGTCTGGGCGCAGCCCTCGAAGCTCCAAGTGGGCCCCATACCCATGTTCTCGCCTGTCCAGCAGGGTCCCATTGTGAAACCTGGGTGGTAGGTAGACAACACCATGGGGACACTTGGGGTGAGGTGAAACTGTCCCCAGGAAGCAGGTCAGGGAGCTGCAGAGGGGTTGCCCCAGGGTCAGCCTCCTTGCTGGGGAGACGGGTTTGCTCAATTTCCATGGTAGCCTCTCTGCCATCTATTTGCTTCCTGGGCAAAGCTTCCTCAACTCTCCAGATGGGAAACCGAGGCCAGCATCCACTTCTAGAATGTCTTTGAGGTACCACATAATCATGGGAAATCCCATCCAACCCCAGAGCAGGACTAGAGCTACCTGAGCTTGGGCCAGAGACTCACCACAAGTATTTCTTGGGCATAGGGGTTCCTGAGGCTTTGCAGCAAAAGGTTACATTCTGGCCAGCCTCTCGCACTCTGGACTCAGGGTGCTTCACCAGGTAGGGCTTTCCTGGGGGCAAATGTGGCAAAGATCAGGACCCTGACCCACCACAGCTTTTCCCAGGGACCCTTCCCAAGAACAAAGCCCCCATACATTCCCTTCTCCCAGAGACTGACCTGCTTATACCTTCCCCAACAACTGTGTCACATCTTAATTCTTTTCCCCTGACTTCAAGTGCTCAGTGTGACCTAGAATAACCTTCCCAGTCCCTCAGTCCCCTAATGCTCTCTGTTGTGAAGGTACTTACGTAACTTATCAAGGACAATGGTGACCACAGCAGAGTTGGTGCCATTGGCCTGGACCCGAGCCACACCTACAGAGAAGCCGTCCATCTGGGCACTGACGTTGGCCTGGTTACTGGCACAGAATCCAGGCACCTGGAAGGTTCCTTGGGCATCACTGGTGGCTATAGTGCCAGGTCGGGCTCTCAGGAACACCCTGGCTCCTGACAGTGGTCGCCCAGATGGTGTAACCACCAAGCCCAGAAGGATGTGGTCAGGGCACCTGCAGAAGTCAGGGCTGCATCCTGGGGGGACACAAGGAGACAGCAGGGGCAGAGGCTTCCACACTCCCTCCTGTGGTCTGGGGCTCTCCACTCAGTCACTCTATAGCCACACCTGGAGATTCCCCTGCCCCATGTTACACCCATCAGAGGTCACCATGGCTTGGCTTAAATTAGCCCCTAGTGTGAGGGGGAGATGGAACTGAGCCCACAGGGCTAGGTCAGGGAGAAGGAATTGGGATCTAGAGAGATTGGAAAGATGCCCTGGAGGAGGGGACAGAAAAGTTGACTCTCAAGGGCAGGAGAGGCCCCTTCCAGCAGGAGAAAACATATCTAAGCAGGGGCTGTCTTGGGGAGACAACATCTCTCCCCTTCCAAACGTACGGCTGCTCCATAAAATGGAAAATTCCACTGGAAACTTCAGGGCAGAGGCTCTGAAAGGGCAGAGCCAGGCAGGGTGGGGTGGGGACCCCACCATTGGCCACTGTGTGCCCCCACCCTGCGGCAGGCTTCTCCAGAGCAGTCCAGACAGTGTTTGTGGAGCCCAGGACCAAGCGGAATTTCCAGTCGCCTCCTGGCTGGCCCGGTGTCTGGCCCTGGGAGGGCCTAGGCACCGTGTCTGCCAGGGTGTGAGCGCGTGTCTGCGTGGGCATGGGGGACGGGTGGAGGCTGCATATGCCACTCAGGAGTACCCCAAGTACAAGAAGCAACATTGGTCTGCCCATGGGTTTATCTGTACACTAGGCCATGCACACAGGGAAAGTGACCCCTTAGCTCTGCCTGTGTCTGCTTGAGACAAGCCCTGTGGCAGGCACCAGTGCTCCCTGGGCCCTGGAAGAAGCTTCCACCTAGCCTATGTTGGGGCCCTTGGTGCATGGTCGCTGCATCCCGGCTTCCTCCTCCTAAACCCTTCTCTCTAGTCCTTCAACTAGTTCCCCACCAAGCACGTCCCTCAACAGGCTCCGTCCCAACCTCTTTCCCTGACCCCGACCCTAACCGGACCCCCACAAAAAGACCAGTACTCCATCCCCGCCTTCCTACCTAGGCACGAAGGCCGCACACATTTTTGGGCCTCCACGGAACGCCCTGGACACGCATCCTCAGCCGGGCCTGCGCAGCTGCGGTGGCGCAAGCGACGGCCCGGCCCACAGCTCCTAGAGCAGGGACCCCACGGACCCCACGTGCCCCAGGCGACCTCTGTGGAGAGCAAAGAGGAAAGTCAGACAGCTGTCCTTCCCAGGAACCACGCCTCGCCTGGCGACAATGTGGGGGCAAAGGCCATCACCACTACACACCCACCCACACCATGTGCATTCTAGGGTGGGCTCTCCTGCCTACGGTCCCCATCAGTGCTGGTCTGGCACGCCCTTTGAGGGTGCAGTTCAGGTACCCCTATCTCCCTTTCGGATAAAGACTCTGAGTTTAGCCCCACTCTTTCCTGTTCCTGAATACCTTTGGGGCTCAAGACACCTACAGAGCATGACAATTACAAATCAGCAAATGAGGGAAGGAAATGTGTTTCTCATGGTCAGGACAGGGGGATGACCTGCGGTGCTTCCTGCCTGGGAACAACTGCTCCTGGCCCCTCCCCTCACTGGTCCCGCCTGGCCCTGCCCCCTCCTGGCCGTAGGGGTGCTCCTGGCCAGGGTGCTGCGACCTTCCTTGCTGTCTAGGCGCGTCCACACAGCCCCTTCCTCAGCACATACTGGCCCCACCCACCTACGGTTGCCAGCTCCACCTACTCCAGGCCCCGCCCCACCCTGGGCCCCGCGCTCACCGAGCGGGCAGCGGAAGCGCACGTGGTAGTTGGAACAGCGGCGGCCGCGCGGCTGCTCGCGGTTGAGGCACCAGAAGCCGCGCGTGGGATTCAAGTGCACGCGCTCGCCGACCGCGGACGGCAGGGCCCAGTCGGTGGTGCGAGCCTCCAGCGCCAGCGGCCTCTGGCACACACGGGCAGGTCCGTAGTAGAAGCGAATGGCCGCCAAGCTCTCGAAGTCGCCGTCTCCTCCAGGATGGTCCACGTTGAACCAGGACGTCCACTCGCTTGCCTCTGCGAGCACCGCACGCTCTGAGATCCGGGTCGCAGCCTGTCGGCCCCCGTCAGTCGTGCAAGGGCCTGACCTGCTGCTGGGCTCCCTTCACCCATTCTCCAGCCCGCCCAGATTCAGGACCTTGTAAAGGACGCTTGACCTCCACTTGCCCAGCCCCAATGCTTGAGCTGGCCCATCTGGGCACACTGAGATCTTGCTGGGTTTGACCAGTCTCTTACTTAGACAATGTGGGGGCAAAGGGACATCACTTCCAGGACCTGCTATGTCTAGGCACCAGAATGGTTCTGGAGCCTTCACTTAATTTGTTGTCCCCTCCTTTCATGACTCCACTAGCCCGAGTTCATGTAAGTCCGCAGCAGAGAGGGGACTCCAAACCGAGCTGACTCACCTTCCCAGTCCTCCAGGGCTGGTGAGGGCTGGCCAGGGTGCAGCGACCTTCCTTGCAGACCCCATGCAATTCCTGTGGGCTCCTCCACGGGAGTGGCATCTGGAAGAGTTGGGGAAAGGAAGGACAGTGATGGGGACCACTGTGACCCCCTCCCCTTGTGCAAGAGGAAGGCGGTGATCATTCTCATTTTACACAGTAGGAAACTGAGGCTCCTGATAGGCCAGAAGCCAACCCTAGCCCTGTGGACTACAGCACACCCTCCTCCAAGAACCTTTCCATTACCAGCCCCAGACTCCTGCAGCGCTGTCCCTTTCTCTGGCCCAGCTTCAACTCCGTATGAGCTGGGGAGTCTGTCCCACTCTGCTCCCCCAGGCTCCGATCACCCCTTGAGTGTGCTAAGCAGCCACAAGTTTAGTCAAGTTCATTCGACTGTGACTCTATTCTCTTGTATGTATTCATTTTTTCATCAGATAGATTAAAAGTTCCTCTCTCCGTCTACCCTTTCCATCCTTTTACTTGGGGCCCAATCTGTCCTTGGAATCCACCTTGTCTTCTCTGATCTTAAGAACGTAACTCAGTCAGGGTGACAGCCTAAGACAAGTCCCTTCCTCCTTGGAGCCTCAGTCTCCTCTGAGAAATGGGTCCATCACCAGCCCCCATGGCAGGACATTCCAGAGATGGGGATTGTTTCTTTGGGTGGTGCGGGTGTGTGCAAGGGAGGGAATGTTTCTGACCCTTTGGTCTAGGAAGGGAGACCTGGCGATTCAGGGTCCAAAAGCTGGGGCTGGGTGGGTCAGGTACCCCACCCGTCTCTGGAAACCAAAGAAACCTAAGGTTCACATCCACACTCCTGGCACGTCCATTGTGCCTTCCAGGAGGGCAGGGAATAAGAGATCCTGTCCCCACCCCGGATGGACCAGAGCTCCGTTTCCCCATCGCCCCCACTCCAAGGCTGGCGAAGGGGGCTTCAACCCTGGGGAGGCACGTAGGTGCCTGGTTCTTTTTCCTAATGTAGCTCACGCAAACCTGGCTGTCAAGCCTCCGGGAGCCTAGGGCTGGGGGCATCTCACCTCGGGCACCCGCCAGGTGCGCTACGGCGACACAGAGACAGAGCAGTGGTAGCAGTGACGCCATCTCCAGGTCCGAGCCTCCGAGGGAGGGTCGGGACTCCGCAGTGAGCTCGGATCGGACTCAAGCGGGTCTGGCGGCCGCTAGGATTCAACATAGGGGCGGGACACAACGCAAGCCCCGCCCCTTGCAGACCGCGCTGAATGCAGGCCAGGCCACGCCCCCGGCCCTGTGTGACTGCGGCTCAAGTAACCACTTCTGTGTCTTCCCACCACTTTGCCTTCTCCCTCAGGCCAGCGTGTATTTGTTTCCTCGTCGCTGGCTGGACCTCCTTCCCACCCTTTATCCTCCAAGTTGGGTCCCAAGCTGCCTGCGCCAACCAGCACTTGGAATCGAACCTGAAGCTCCCCGGACCTACGTGCTTTAGGCGGCTGGAAGTCCTCCACCACGTCTAACTTCGATCCTATCGGGTTTCAGGCTACTCTGAGCGTCTGGGAGTCCTAACCCTGAACCCACTCTCCATTCTTCGGGTTGGAGCTTTTTGGGGAAGGTGGCGGGAAGTTCCACACTACAGCTCCCCTCCAGATCTCCCGCCGTTGGGCCTCCCCACGGGACAGGTGGGAAGACCCTCCTCGATCTGACCCCCCCTACCCTTGCGGCGACCGGGTGCACAGAGGAGGCGGAGCGAGGTGGTGGTGGGAGATCTGTTTATTGGTGCAGGCCCAGAGGCGCGGGCGCGGTGGCCGGTCAGAGGGCCGCGACGCAGTCGGTGCCTGTGTATCCCGGCAGGCGCAGGGCGAACTTGCGGCGCACGTCGTCGGGCACGAACCGGCCGGCCACGAAGTGGTGGCGCCCTGAGAAGCGGCCGGCGCAGCGCTTGGGCGCTGCGAGCGACACCAGCACGTCTGGCCGCAGCCCGTCTTCAGCGTCGCCGCCGGTCTCCGCGTCCCAGCCTAAGGGAGGAGTGGGGGAGCAGGGAGGATCCGGAGCTGGAAGGGTCGTCCGCCCTCAGACTAGAATCCTGTCCTTGTCTCCCGTCCCCCGCCACCGAGCCTCTGCCCTCAGGCCGCAGTCTTGCTCCCCCCACACCTGCTTCCTCTGCAGACCCAGCTCCTCTCTCTGACTCGTGGGTCTTGGTCAACCTGCCCACCCATAGAACCGGGCCTCCACCCTCAGACCAGTCTCTCTCCTTGAGGTGTTTCCTGCCCCCCTCGGACCAGAGCCTTTGCCCTTACACTTTTTTGGTCCTGCTGCCATTCTACTATTCCTCCACCCTCCTCCACCCACCCTCTGCCTTCAGACTGCATCATTTCCACCTGCCGTCCTTTCCCAATTATCGCCGGCCTCTGCCTTGGGACCTGGTTGGTACCTATCTGCATACCTGCCTCCCCACAATCCTGAGCCTCTGGACTACAGCCTCTTCCCACCCAGACCTCCAGCCAGACACCAGTGTGGGTTTCCACCCTCAGGCAAGCTTCCCCCATCAGACCTTTCTCCTTGCCCAGTTTCTTGTCTCCAGCAGAACACACCCATCTCCCCACCAGACTTGAACATTCATCCTTCCCACTCCAACTACAACACTCCTCCCCTGACCTAAGATCTCTGCCTTTGCCCTCACACTAGATCCTGTTATTTGACTTGGCAAGGCTACCGCCTCTGTCTTTTTTTCTTCTGTGCTGGGGATTGAATGCAGGGCTTTGCTCTGTGGGGCAAACGCTCTATTACTGAGAGACATGCCTAACCCAGCCACCATCTTGTCGAATGAGCATCCACCTTCAGTCTAGAGGCCTTGCCTTCTCTCTTGCCTCTGACCTGAATCCGGGACCACTAACTAGAAGTCCCTGGTTCCTCCCTCTGACTATAATGCTTCCTTCTCTGACCCTAGCCTCCACCGGCAGACTAAAGGCCCCTAACATCACTTTGACCTATCAGAGCCAATCTCTCTGTCCTAGGCTACCTGTTCAAACAGGAGCCTGCAGCCCAGATGGCCCCCTTCCTCCCTCAGCCCCCCTCCTCTGTGCACTGGGCTGGGATGGCTCTGGAATCCTGAAAGCCAGAGGACATCCCCCAGAGTCCAGCCACCCCCATGGAGGGTCCTGCAGCCAGCGGCTGTTTATTCCGTCTGCCTGTCGCCTAATGGTTCCAACAGGCGTGGGGCGGCGGCCAGGGCAGGCGTGGCTTTGCTGGGTGAGCTCACGTCTACCCAGGCAACTGGGCCAGGGGTGGGCATCGGGCACATGGGGCTGGGCACTGGGGGAGGAGGGGATCCAAGGTCACCTGGGGTGGCACACTTCATCCTCTCCATCATTGGGATGGGTGTGACCCTTGGCCTCAGCCAGAGAGCACACAGCATCCACTCTGGGGAAACCGAGGCTCAGATTGGGCATGCAAGCTGGGGCCACCAGGAGCCAGAGTACAGGGGCCTCCACCCAAGCTCCCCGGGTCCCACTGTGCCCACTTTGCTCAGCATGCCTGAGGGAATGTCCAGGCTCACGAGGGGGATGGACAGCAGCTTTAGTGTGGCCAGTGCACGGGTGCAGGGGCCCCCGACCTCACTTGGCTCCACACCAGGACCCAGCACAGCGTCCACGACCAGCCCATAGGCGTCATTAATGAGCTGCACCTGGGAAGAGAGGTGAGGTCAGGGGTGGCCCTGGGGCCCCGTCCTCCACCTCTGCCCACACTGGTCACCCAGTGCTGACCTCCGTAGGCAAGTAGGAGAGGAAGGGGATATCCATCTTCTCACACTGTGTGGTGAGGTCCTGGTGCAGCAGGTCCAGCGAGCGTGTGGGGTAGAAGATGGTTGGTTCGTACTCCTGGAGGGGGGACAAGGGGTCAACACTGGGGGTCCTCTCAGGTATCCACATCAGACCTCACCTGGGGCAAGTATGGCATATTCTAAGACTTGCCCCTGTGACCAAGTCCCTTGGGGACTCTTTTCAAGAGAAGGAAGCAATTTCTGCCAGGTGAAGGTGGGGTGAACGCCAAGGCGTTCCTTGCTACTCACAAACACCCGCAGGTGCCGGGCACAGACCAGCCCCACTGCTCCATTCTGCTCCGGGCCACACACCACCAACACTGTCCTCTGCTTCCTGGAGAGAGCAGGCAAAGGGAACACCTGGCAGGGGACACAGCGAAGCAAGACACTCGTGATTCCTCTTTGCACAAGTCGGGAAACTGATGCTGGGAGTAGGGGAGGGTCAGGGCTGGGCCTGAAGGCAACAGGATTCAACAGAAAGAGGAATTCTGCTGGGAAGAGGGCCTCCAGCTCCGCCCAAGGCCTGCGCCCCAGTGCCCAAAGGCAGTGCGGTTTGTTTTTTCCTCGCCCTAGTCACAGACATTCCTCCACCTTTTTCCACCGCAGTGGCTGCCCTTCCCCCAGCCCATGTTTCCAGGGCTAAGCTCCTCCTGGAGGCCCCAGAGTGGGGGAGAAGGGGAGAGGGAGGGGGACTTCTCCAACCCCTGCCTGCCTTGATGATTCTCTCCATCTTTCTCTGTGTATCTCAGACTGTCTCTGTCTCTACCCATCTCTTTCCTTTGAGTCTTTCTGTCTTTCACTTTTGTGTATCTGTCCCTCTGTGCCTGTCTTCCCCTTTCTGTGTTCGTCTCTCTGTATCTCTCAGATCCTGTGTCTTTGACTGACTCTTTCCCTCAGGTGCCCCCATGTCTATCTGTCGGTGTGTGCATCTCTTTTTTTTTTTTTAGTTATAGATGAACACAATTTCCTTATTTATTTATTTTTATGTGGTGCTGAGGATCGAATCCAGTGCCTCATGCATTCGAGGCAAGTGCTCCAACACTGAGCGACAGCCCCAGCCCAGCATCTCTTTTTAACAGTTGCTAAGGGCCCTGATGTACGATTCCCAGCCTTGCTCTGTTTCTCTGTGGCCCTGCCCCTTCTCTCCCAGCCTCAGTTTGGCCTCTATCAAATGCGAGCAACAGCCAGGTGGTGCCACATACCTGTAATCCCAGCTACTGACCGAGGCAGGAGGATGGCAAGTTCAAGGCCAGCCTCAGCAACTTAGTGAGACCCTGTCTCAAAATAAAATAAAAAGGTCTAGGGATGTAGTTTAGTAGTAGAGCACTTGCCTAGCGTGTGAAAGTCCCTGGGTTCCACCCCAGCACTGGAAAAAACAAAAGACAAAAAGAAAGACAGCAAACAATGGCACTGGCCTGAAAGGCACATGGAGTATCTGGGCCTGGCTCCAGGGGCCTATGCAGTCTAAGCTCCGACTGCACAGGAGAGAGTATTCTCCTCCCCGAGGTCTCAGTGTGATCTCGACCCATCATGAAAGTGCTATGACTTCCACCATTCTGGGCTGAGCCCAAGTCTGGAGGGTGAGGACCTCCTTCTGGCTAGGACTAAGGGACTTTGGAAGAATGAAGGACTTCCAGTACAAAAAACGGGACAGTCTGGTCACCAAGCACAAGGCGTTTATTGCACAGGGTGTCCTTTCATGGCTTTCATCCTCATTGATTTCCTTCTCCCTTGGATACTTCACCCAGGATATTTCATTTGGAAAAACACGTAAGTAAAACAACAAAAGTTCCATCAACATAAAGATACTGAGTTTTTAAGAAAAGTATCCAGGGGTTGGAGATGTGGCTCAAGCAGTAGCGTGCTCGCCTGGCATGCGGGTGGCCCAGGTTTGGTCCTCAGCACCACATACAAACAAAGATGTTGTGTCCGGAAAACTAAAAAATAAATATTCTCCCTCCCTCTCTCTCTCTCTCTCTCAAAAAGAAAACAATGTTAGGATGGAGTAGCCTCAAGCAAAGAGGATTCTTTAAGTCTGGACCATCCTGGTCACAGGGTTAATGTGCTAGACTGCTGGATCAGGTTGGGGGTCAGTCAAGGGGTCAGTCAGTCAGGGGACAGTCAGAGGTCAAGTACCTTGGTCACAGCCACGGCACTAGCATGCCCGCACAACTCCACTAGCTGCTGCCGCCCAAAGCGATAATCCTCCAGCAGCTCCCGCTCCAGGGCAGCTGCCTCCGCCGTGCTGGGGGTCAGAAAATGGGGAGAGAAGCTCAGAGACACAAAGAAACACAATAGACCCATAGAAACTCAGATGGAGCTAGAAATGTTCCGCAAATGTTAAGGGGTATGTCCCCTATCCTCCAGTAGCTTCTGCAGCTCTGAATTGCAGATCCTCCCTCATCCTCAGTTGCCCCGCGTGAATAGCAACCATTAGGAGGTTGGAGACAATTTTGAGGAGCCCACCCTCTGGTGGTCGAAGGAGTGCATGGCAGCCAATGGTGGTTCTATTGCCGCCAAACCCAGCCAGAGGCCCCAAACAACCCAACTATGCCAGGAGGAACTCAGACAGTGATGGAGAGCGAAGGACTTTGACGGGGGAGATGGATTGACTTCAGGCAGTGAGAATCACTGAGCAAGCTCCAAGATGTTGGAGTGGGTGGAGTGGACTGGGGACACCTGAGGAAGGGGGGTTTTGAAGGCTGCTGAGGAATTTGATGGCTCACTCCAGGAGGTGAATGTGGGACATGTGGTTTTATTTTTATTTTTTTAATATTTTTTCCCTTAGTTGTTGATAGATCTTTTATTTATA